AATCCTTGGAATCAGAAAGTCTGTTGGAACCTGGTAGGAGCAATAGCTCAGATTCCTATGCTCTTACTATCACACAACACCTCACTGAGCTCATTCAAAAGGAATTTCAGATAGGAGAAAACAAGGCACAAACAAACAAAGAGGCAAAATAAAGAGTCCTGTAAAAATCCAGTATAAATTTTCACTTTGAAAATAAAGACATCCTAATTTTATATGAAGTTTAGTATTTTGAAACAATGTGAATATAATAAAAGTCATTGATGTGCATACTTAATGTGGTTTAATTGTGAGTTTTTGTTATGTCTTCATGATTCCAAAATGAAATATATGTTGATGGACATTTAGAAATAATACATAGATAACAGAAGTGATTAGGACACACCAGTTTAACCTGAGTAGAGGAAGAACTTCTGTGGACAATTATTTTCCTTTTACCTCCTTCTTCCATTAGGTTAAGAAGTCCTTAGAGGCTGGATGGCTTGGACCACTGTGGCTAATTATGTGCCTGTGTGCTGAAACTACAAAGTCATATAGTAGTCAATAATTAGCTTGTGTCTCCAAACATTCAGTGTGATGACTTCATTCCAGTGAGTCCCATGCCTGTGTCTCAGCTTCCGTGGTTGTCTGCATCAGGATGCTCCTATTTGACTTTGCATTAATTTCACTATTGAGGACAGAGACTGAGCTTTCATTGGGCAGCAGATATAGCAGGGTCTTTGGATCTGCTCTCCTGGACTATGATCCAGCAAATAAACAGCGTCTCCCAGTAAGTGCAGAGATAACACATTGATGTGGGAAGGATCTTTGAAGTGTTCCTTCCTTATCAGAAGGACAGACATGAAAGGACAGGCAGATGGGAAGCTATGAATATGAAAATTATAAGTTCTGAGGAATGGAAATTTTATATTCTTGGCTTCAAGGTAAACATAATTATTATTTCAAATTTTCTTTCTAAACATCCCATATCTACTTCATATTGGCATCTCGCTCATAATAGGAAAAATCTATCCTTCTGAAGTGCTTTTATGTACTCCAAAATGAGGAAGGAGATGGTGATAAAGATGTTGAAGAGTAGGATATTAATAAATATTAACTTGTTTTGGGGGCCTTGCTATATTTCAGGCACTGGGCAATGTATTCTATACATCTGGTTTCATTTTATGTGATTTGTATTTCTGAAATTGTAAGGGTCTATATAGTTACTCCTTAAAGAAAATGAAAATGACTGTCATTTTGATTAAAACTGAGGTAGGATATTAAGTAGAAAAATGTCAAGTCACATTTGAAATGGGCAGAGTGATAAAAGACACATGTTTCACATGAAGAGTAATCTAGGCAGGTTGTCCACTTAACCATATTACCAACCATGCCACTTCCCTGTTACTCCAGGATGAGACCATTGCTCAATTAACTCTTCCTTTTGGGAGGTTCCAGACAGATCCCAGAGAAGTGCATGGCACCTGCTACATCCACCAGAGGAAGTAGAGATACAGGTCACAGGCAAAAATCATAGAGTGTACAGTTGGTAATTCAAATTACTTTCAGGTCACCACTGCAAGATATTCTTGGAATTTCATTATTTCATGCAAGCACAAATGGGGCTATGTCAAGTCTTCCTTTTACTTCTATTTAGGATATGAGTTAAAAATTTAACAGATGCCCCCTGTGGTTAAAAACCTCTGAACAACTGCTTCAATATTTTTGTGCATTGGGAAACAATGAAAATATTTATTGCGTTGGACAACATCCATCAATTTAATTTTTGATTATTTCAGGTCTATTTCTTGTTTCTGTGGAGAACCAAATATTTTTACCTTCTCTGGGGTAGCATTGTCATTAATGTTCATTTCTATTTGCAACAATGCACAAAAGATCCTGTGGATATGGAGTGTTCAAATATGGGGTTAATACACATAAAATTAGAGCAAGACAAAAATGAGTTATCATTATAATTAATTATAAGAATAATCTTTATACCAATCATGTCCTGTGAACTAAGTTACTCTTTTTCTATTTTTGTAGCAGGACATTTTATTTTTGTCTTTGTGTATTTATATGCACATATTTGGAGAGAAATTGTATGCAGTCCTTAAAATATTTACTGAATCCCTAGAGCCTAAGTCTTGTTTGGAAAAAGAGGAATGAAAAATAAAAACATCTGTTAAACTTTGAATGAACACCTCCTCAGGTCAAAATGGTTTTCTTACTCAGCATGATGTGAAGATAAATGGCACATTCCTGTCTTCATATTCCTTCATTGCATACATGTTCTGTAGATGAAGACACAAAATAATAATGGTCTTTGTCAAAAACATGTGGTCCCTGTAATCCATTTTATTTCAACTACATCCATTATTCAAAAACACATCAGAGATACTCATAATAGGTTTAAAAATGCACAAAGGCAAGGGAGCGAGTGAATGTATGTCTCACTCTAAAATGCATCATAGAATTTCATATCATTTTGGCCTCTGGTGCTATTTGAATACAGTTACTGTATTTATAGGTAAAGTTTTTACTGGCATAATGATGTAATTCTTTATTTTAAAACAGAATCTTACAATGAGTGCTTACTTGTATTCCAAGCTTCCTTTAGTTGCAACACACATGAAGATGAGTGTTTTTCTCTTTATTTTTCTCAAGCAGTGTGGGCATGTAGAGGAGGACAGATTCACACACATCATGCATGTTGCAGCATTATCAGTGACAGGAAATTAAATGAATAATTTCCCAAGTCCCATTCCAGGACAGAATCTCTCAGCAAAATGGTTATGTTATTTCTCCAAGATGATAAAATTTCTTTGTGTATTATCCTATGGAGTTAACTACTGGACAGACTCCAGAGATATTTTGAAGCTTTAACTCAAAAACAAGACACTGTAAGAGATTAAGAGTAACTTTCTCTGGAAAAAATAGTACAATTTTTTATATATTATTCATTGGAAGTCAAAGTACTTCCCACCAGTATATTATACTGTATGCACATCTTAACTTGTTTGACAGGAAGAGAGGCAGAAGAATTTTAAACATTGTATTAATAATAAACTTACTATTTATATGAACTGTCTTCATGTAATTCTTTTCATTAGTAAATGAAGACTTAAAACCTGTTGTGAAAGATTCTCTCTTTCAGAGACAAAAGATTTTGTGTTTGCACAACTTATATGAGGTTTAGGTACATTTTAGGCAATTTTCTAATAAGAAACTGTGGATTCATAAATCAATATTTACCTAAAAACATTGACAGGAAAATCTACTCATGAAATTCATGACAAGTTCCTTGGAACACAGGTGTGTAAGAGAATAAAATTATACAGGGATACCAACAATTAAAATTTCATAGGTATTTGTTCAAATCTCTAAGTACACTAGTTGTGGTGAACACATTAATGTATCTTTAAATATAATCATATAGAGCAGTAATATTAATGGAGCATGTTCTGAATCATAGGAAGTATTCCAAAACAGTAGTCCTCAACTCTAGGACCAAAAAACTCAAAATATAAGTAGTCTGATAAAATTTATTGGTCTGAGTCTAGAATGCCTGGATATTTAAACATATCTCCAGGATGTATGTGTGTGTGTGTATATATTATATATATATATTATATATATAATATATATGGTGACCCATATATATATTTATAGTTTATATATATATATTTCTATATACATATATACATACACACAGATATAAACATATATACATGTGTACATATTATATATACATATATATTGTGTATATATAATATACACATGCATATATGTGTATATATATATTAGAGTCATCAGAGATTCAAATTAAATATTTTAAAACACTTTCTTCCACCTAGTATACAAGGTAAGTGATTGTTATCCCCAATTTATAGATAAGGGGAAATTACATTATTTACAGGTATGGTTATTGTATTTCATGTACTTTTACTTTTGTAAGTGAGTTTCAGGTATGTTAACATTATTTCATGGACGTCTATTTGACTTTTTTCACTAATGAATTATAGTGTGGCCTGACAAAACAAAGTGGAAAATATTCTTTCAGGTAACAAAACTAAGAAAAATGAAAATCATTTCACTGATATGACAAAAAATTGATATAACAAGTGTGTCAATTAGAATTAATAAGATTTAAAGGTAGCCCAGGCTTTGGAATTTCTCTTGTTTTTAATTCTACTCCTGGTCATAAGAAATTTTATGGTTAGAGAAATAATTAAGCTTATTAGCATGGTACTATAGTATATGGGATCAAGAAAAAGAGCAAAGCAATGACATAGATAGTAGATATTTAGTAGTATTATAGAATGTGATTAAAATAAATCTGTATGAAATTTAAAATGTCAAATATTCTCAAAGCTTACTATTCTTAAACATTCACAAGTATGGTATACATTAATGCCACATCCATAATTATTATGTCAAAATTATACACATGCATTTGTACTTGCTTACTCAAATTTGAGTTCACAATGGATGAATTTAGATGTAATATGTTAAATAATTTATAAGCAACAAAGGCTGAACAAGATCTGACATCCTTCAAAAGTGAACATCAGAAAACCAAAAAATGATGAAAAATTCCCGAGAGATAACTGACTCAACACTATGAATTTTGATTATTAACAATTAACTTTAAGACTCAGACAATGAAAGCCTAGATATTATAGTAATTATAGACAACTTATGGAATGAATTTTTTACTATTTTTAAGAATAAGGAATATTTGAATTCTTCTGAATTTACTTTAAATAGGATCATCTATTCACTTTTTAAGAGTTTGGAGTATCTTACTGGGATACAGAATTATAAACTCTCAGGTTCTACCTTTGTAAACTAGAATGTAAAATATGTTTGTACAGAAAAAAAGTGGATAATGAATAATCTAATAATGAAAGTGTTCTGAAGAATAGGGATTTTACAGTGGAGCAATATGGCTAAAAGTTTTATACACCACATTGGAACACTTTGCATGTGAAAACATGAATTTATTACATATAGAGAGTCTCATGTGCTATTTTCTGCTTTCATTTTTTTCCAATGAATTTTTGAAAAGGTATTCAAGCATTATGGAAGCACATAATCTAACCTATGTCTCAGAATTCCATCTCATTGGTTTCTCAGAGGACCCAGACCTGCAGCCCATCCTTCTTGGACTCTTCCTGTCCATGTACCTGGTCACAGTGCTTGGGAACCTGCTCATCATCCTGGCCATCAGCTCTGACTCCCACCTCCACACCCCCATGTACTTCTTCCTCTTCAACCTGTCTATTGTTGACATCTGTTTCATCTCCACCACGGTTCCAAAGATGATTGTGGACATCCTAACTCAGACCAGAGTCATTTCCTATGTGGGCTGCCTGACACAGATGTCTCTTTTTATTATATTTATATGTATGGATGACATGCTCCTGACTGTGATGGCCTATGACCGGTTTGTGGCCATCTGCCACCCCCTGCACTATGGAGTCATCATGAATCCTCACATCTGTGTCTTGTTGCTTTTGCTTTCAGTCTTTGTTAGCCTTTTGGACTCCCAGCTACACAATTTAATTGCCTTGCAATTTACCTGCTTCTGGGATGTGGAAATTGCTAATTTCTTCTGTCATCCTTCTCAAGTCTTTAGCCTTTCATGTTCTGATACTTTAATCAAAACTGTGGTCACATATTTTGTTGGTGTCATATTTGGCTTTTTGCCCATGTTAGGGATCATTTTCTCTTACTATAAAATTGTTTCTTCCATTCTCAAAATACCATCATCTGATGGGAGATACAAAGCCTTTTCTACCTGTAGTTCTCATCTGTCAGTTGTTTGCTTATTTTATGGAACAGGCACTGGGACTTACATTGGTTCAGCTGTGTCATATTCTCCCAGCAAAGGCATGGTGGCTTCATTGATGTACACAGTGGTCACCCCTATGCTGAATCCATTCATCTACAGCCTGAGAAACAGAGACATTAGCAACACCCTAAAGAGCCTCCACAGTTGGATAGCTTAATCCCAGGACATTTGGAATTCATTTTGAATGTAGGTTTGAAACTGTGGAGAAATTATACACCCAAAATTCACCTATAAATACTGTCTCTTTTGTCACATTAGTTTAGACACTTAGTGTTTCATATTAGGCTCATAACTGAGGAGGCGCTGGTGGAATTTAGGGTTTTTCATATGAGTGTAAATTTTCAGGTGGGAAGATAATAATTTTCTGAAGATGGGTAACAGTAATGTTTGCACAAAAGATACTGTCATTAATATTATCAATCTATACTTAAAGGTAGTTAAATGATATATTTAGTTATTTATATATAACCACAATGAACAATGAAAATAAAATTTTGAGGTTTTTTTGAGATAGGCTTTTGCTATGCAGCTCAGGCTGGCCTGAACTCACAGGGATCCTCCTGTCTCAGCCAACCAAGTGCTAGGATTACAAAGGTTCTCCCTCACTTCCAATTAGGAACTTTTTTTGTAAGGAATAACTTATCAAATAGTACACTTGGAATTTCTTCTGAGTAAAGGAAGGATCCAGTCTTTTGTGAACATTTTTTCTCTTTTTTCATCAAGTTTAATTTCAGAAGTTAAAGATTTCAATAACATGAATAAAATTTAGGTAGCAAGTAACAGTGTGCAATGAGCCTCTAAGGTCATAAAATATTCCATACTCATCCATTCCTCCAGCCTTTCATTTCATTTGTTCCATTTCCATTGGCATCACTGCTACATATTATGATAGTTTTCTGAAATAGAAAGCTCATATCTGACATGGTTGATTCTCTGAGTTTATTTAGAGCTTTCTGTGGAATTCAGGCAGATGAGTGGTATGGGATTCATTGCTTTAGACAGAACCCAGGGGAGCCACAGACTTAGTATGTGTTGAGGTAGATGATGGATGGAGAAAGGAATATTGTAACCACTGTTTCCCATCATGAACACATACATAAAAGTGGATAGTGAGAAAGAATGATTGGACTGTCCACAGCTTTAACTAGTAGTACTTTGAAGTTTAGACTTGATTTTCATAAAGAACTAAGCATTTCAGTTGGTTTTTCTTTATTCTCACACTGGTCCTGCTCCTTATAGACATCTAATCCCTGATTGTACATTGTGGATATCTATAAACTGCTTATGAGCACCACAAAATGATTATGAGTAATGATGAGGACAATCACAGCATTGTGAACCAATACTGAGAGATTTCTAAATGGCATCCTCCAACTTCTGTGTTCCTGTAAATTGTTTCATTTTATCTGTAAAATGTTTCTCAAGGTTAAGTTCATATCATTTTATTTGAAAGTTTAAAAAAGGAGTACAGTATTTTTGTGTAATGAATTACAGTATGCTGGGCAGAAAAGAGGGATGTGCTTCCATAAGCCCATCTGATAACACACAATGGGCATCTTGACATTCAATTCCCACACATCTTTTCATTGACAATACAGGCACCCAACTCTATTACCTGTCTCTACAGGAAGGGACCCCCTTTCTCACTATGCTCTACAATTTTGAATTCCAAGTAGATGACAGGAGAAAGGAGAAGTGACACCTACTGCTTCCACTGTAGGTGGATTTCTGAGATGAGGAGCAAAGATAGAATAGGTCCACAATTATTAAAACTGACCTAATTCTTGTTCTGCACTCTACACTTTTCCGGAAGCTGTCCACATGATTTTCCAATCTTTTATTCATTCTTCTCAAACTCAACAAGAGTAATCAACTCAGGGTGTAATTTCATTCCTGCTCAGGAAACTGGAAAGTGTTTAATATTCCTCGGACAGCAGTGTGATGTAGATCTCTGGTACCTCTGCTGGATGTATTCTAATGGTTTGGAAACACAGAAAAAGTTCTGTTACTCAAGCACAGGGACCAATAATGTAATATTTAATCCTACTTACAATCATTATTTCTTTAACATCGTGCAGGTTATTTGTATCTCTGAGACTCAGCACTATCATTGAAATTTATTTCTACTTGGTACAACTGTGTTGAGTATTGGTTAAATGGATAACAAATGCTCCTCCAGCTATTAATAGGTGTTACATGTTTAATATGAGCCTAAATTCAATTTAGTTACTGTTAATAAAACTAATATTAAAAGATTCAATTTCATGTCACAATCAAAATGGCTTGGAGCTGGAGTTGTTGTCTTCATTTTCCTATGTGGGCTTTTTGGGGTATTTTTATGATAATATGTGTGTATTTGGAACAAAATGACTAACTCTCTCATGTATGACCTCTCAGATCCTATCACATTCCTAAAAGTAAAAATCTCTTTTAAACATATTATAGACCCTTCATTGGCTCACAATAAGTGAACATAATCACTGTAGCTACTATAGATACTTTCCTACATGCACTCTCATCTCTGTTAGGAATATCCCATGGAGCTTGAAACAAGATAAAAGAGCTCTGGTTTGTGTCTACATTGTAGACACATGGTGACTCTGTCTTCATTTAGCAAAGGCTACAACATTAAATTATTAAAAGATTTTTTTGGGGTGTAAAACTAAAATATTCATAAGGAGAAGGGTGTAATAGTGTGAATTGTGGTGAGGAATATTTTAGTGTTTTGCATCATCTCACACCTCAGTCCCAGTTTACAGATTTATCTAATAATAAACATGCTACTTGTATGAAGATAGAGTACTTTACTAGAAAAAAAAGCAATAGTAACAAAATATTTAAATTCCAAAATATATTTAGGAGGACAAATGTTGTGGATCTGGGTAATTCTATCCATATTGACACCAAGTAGTAAAAGCAGAGACGGGTGCAAAGATTTACATACTGTACATTTAGTAACAAGCAAATAGTACATGTCTAACATAATTTCTTGACTCTCATTCCAGCTCCAGTTTTTCTTTTTTTGTAAATTAAATTCTTTTATTGGTACATTGTAGGTATACAACACAATTACATTTCTCATTGGGAATTGTACCTTTA